TATTTTCTGTTGTGTTCTGTTCCCATATTTCATGTGATGTTATGTTATGCTTAATTGTGTCATGACATTGGTATGTTATGTTATGTCATGTTCTGTCATGCTGTCATGCTCGTATTATGTATTGTCATGTTCTGTCCTGTCATGTTGTGTTCTGTCGTGTTCGTCGTCGCTATGCTCTGCTGTCGTGTTATGGTGATTTCTGTGATTATGTGTTTTGATATCCTATGTTCTGTCAAGGTGTGTTATGCTGCGCTCGGCTCTGTTATGTTATGGTATGTTATGTGTTATGTTCTGCCATGCTCTGCTCTGGAATGTTCTGTGATGTTCTGTTATGCTCAATTTGGCCATACTTCGGCATAGCATTGCTCTGCTCTGTTCTGCCATGGTCTGTCATTCTCGTGATCTGTTCTAACTTGATATGTTGTGTCATGTTGTGTTCTGTCGTGTTCGTCGTCGCTATGCTGTGTTGCCGTTATGATAGGTGCTGTGCTGCTGTGTCACGACATGACATGTTATGTTAAGGTGTGTGTTATGGTATGCTCTGTTATGTTATGTTATGTTGTGCTCTGCCATATTATGTTATGTCATGTTCTGCTTTGGCATGTTATGTGATGTTCTGTTATGCTCTGCTTTGCCATGGTATTGGTATGCTCTGTTCCGTCATGTTCTGTCATTATTTGGCCCGTTCGGTCATGTTCTGTTCTGTCATGTTGTTCTGTCGTGTTCGTCGAGGGCGCGAGGCGAGACATACGGGACTCGGGGATCACCAGGACAACTTGGGGTCTGGTTGCCGCGGTATGCAGGGTGGGGTTGGCCAGGCGCGAGGCGGGGTACCGAGGACTCCCAGGGATCATTGGCCGGGCGCGAGGCGGGATACCCGGGATTCTCGGAGATCATCGGGACAATTGGGGATCTCGCGGCCGCGGTATGCACGGTGAGGTTGGCGGGGGGGGGCTTGCTCTTGAAATCTAGCAACACCAACCTGTCAAGTGGGGGAAAAAACGCTTGGCTTTGCAACACCAGTTTTCAAAAAAGGCCCGCGCGCGCTCGTGAAAATTCTCAAGAAAGCCTGAGGTTCTCAACATTGTCATCAAATTTTGCCAAACAGGCCTCCTCGCGCCGCATGTCGAACTCATCCGAACGCCCTCGCGCGCGTGCTGGGGAGGGGCACGATCCGAGTCAAATAACACCACACCACGCGGGCCACTCGCGCGCGTCGGCCGCGCGCGCATGTCGAACTCCTTCCAAAACCTTCATCACCGACACGATGACATCGTCATCGTTATCGGCGCGCGTGATCAACATCGGCGCCGTCATTGGACTTACCGTCGCCATCGCCACCATCGTCACCACCATCGCTACTCCCATCATCGTGTTTACCGTTGTCGGCGTCGCCATGATAGCGCGCTCGCCCAAGTCACCGACTCGCACAGAAGTGCCCGCAGGGAAGTGCCCAGTGGTCAGCGCCACCGCGGCCGCGTCGATCGCGCTGCACTAGCTGGCCGTTGGACGCGCAAGCATGCGCGGGCTACCGCGACCGCACCAGCCAACGCCAAGCACTTATCGCAATCGCCGTCGCATGGGTTTTGCAAACCGAGTTGCGGGTGGATGGGTGGGACCTTGCGCGAGCAGTGGGCTTGACAATTCACTTTGATTTTGTGTGAATTTCACCACATACAGTTGCCGGTCTAAGCAGGTATGAGGATCTACCCCCATCTTAACGGCACGCCTTGGACTTGCAAGTTACTTACATAGGATTCTGCTCCATTGCCCATCGTAAGTATGAATTCGTATCATCGCATGCAGTCCTTTATCGCCATCCCACCCCCCTCAGCAAATACTAAGTTATATGCACGCGCACATGTTTACCAGATATCGCAGTTCCAAGACCCCCTCGCTAAAAAGTGGGGCGACGTGCTCATGCGCGCGTCGTCGCGCGAGCATGCCGGAATCCTTGAAACAATTCTCGGTGTCGCAAGGATTTCAAAATCGTAGATAGGGAAGGATAAAAAAAAAAAACACCAATGGTTACGCAACCGGGTTCTTCAGAATATCTGCGCTCGCGACATTGCGAATTCTCAAGAAGACAATCAATGGTTACTAAACGCGCCTGTCGCTCGCATGTCGAAATCATGTGAACGCCCTTGCGCACTTTGCAGGGCTCCATGTTATCGCAAGACTCCTTTGCAACAAGTGGGACGATGGGCGCACGCGCGTGCCGCCGAAATCCTTCAACAACCTCAGGTTGCAAAAGGACTTCAAAACCGAATCCCCCGACAACCTGGAAAATGCACATGGCTTTGCTACATCATTTTTCAAAAATTAGCCTGGCGAAGGACGAGGGACTCAACCATATGCAGTTGTGAGCACCGTCGCTGTACGCACCGCATTCGGAGGAGCTTCTTATAGGGCCACGAAACGTGTGACGGGTGTGCCAAATGTGTCCGGTGGGCGCATGCGAAAGCAGCCACTTGGGCCGCCAGTGGAATCCCCAATGGGGCCACGAAGCGCGTGAGAGGTGTGCCGGAATGGGGGCGGTGGGCGCATGCGAACGCAGCCATTGGGGCCGTCGGTGGAGCTCCCGATGGGGCCGCGAGGCGTGCGATGGGTGTGCCGAAATGAATGCGGTGGGCGCATGCGAACGCAGCCACCGGCGCCTTCGGTGGAGCTCCCTATAGGGCCACGAAACGTGCGAAGGGTGTGCCGAAGTGGGCGTGTGTGACGCACGCAGGCGGTGGCACCAAGGCCTTCGTCGGAGCTTCGTATGGGGTCACGAAACGTGTGAGGGTTGTGATGACATGGGTGTGGGTGACGTGTGCGGGCGATGGCAGTGGGGCCTCCGGTGCTGTTCCCTACTGGGCCACGACGCGTCTGAGAGGTGTGCCGAAATGGGTGTGGGTGACGCATGCGGGCGGTGGCAATGGGGCTTTCGGTGGAGCTCCCGATGGGGTCATGTGCGGGTGACGCATTCGGGCGGTGACACTGGGGCCTTCGGTGGAGCTCCCGATGGGGCCACGAAACGTGTGAGGAGTGTGCCGAGATGGGTGTGTGTGTGTGTGTGTGACGCGTGCGGGCGGTGACACTGGGGCCTTCGGTGGAGTTCCCTCTGGGGTCACGAAACGTGTGAAGGGGTGTGCCGAAATGGGTGTGGATGACGCATGCGGGCGGTGGCACTGGGGCCTTCGGTAGGGCTCCATATGGTGCCACGAAACGTGTGAGGGGTCGCGGCGCGGCCACGAAACGCCATATGGTGCCACGGACCGTGTAGGGCCTTCCGCGGCCGCTTGGCCGCCGGCGGCTGGGCCGCGGCGCGAGAGCTCGCGCCGCTGCTGCGCGTCCCCATGCGGGGCCTCAGCTTCTGGGCGGCGCGAGAACGCCTCCTGGCGGCCGTCGAGGCGCTCGTGGAGCGCGACGAGGCCGAGGCATCCGCGGGTGGCAGGAGGCTGCCGCCGCGGCCGCGCGGCCGGCGGCCTGGCGGCGCTCAGCGTGCGGCGGCGGCGCCCCCTGGGGCTGTCGGGGCTCCCAGGGCCCCCTGCTGCTGCTGCTGCTCTCTCCCCCCCCCAGCTACAGGGCGACCTTCTCAAGCAGGTAAACAAAAAGTGTGAGGGGTGTGTCGGCATGAGAGTGGGTGACGCATGCGGGCTGTGCAGGGAGGAGGAGGGGGAGGAGGAGTGAGTGAGTGACGCGGGACGCTGTTTCTTCAAAGCGAGGACCCAACACCACAGGATGGTTGGGAAATCAGTTGAATTTGTTGCTAGTTTTTCATCTAAAAAATAAGCGCTTTCAAAATTCCCAACGCATCTGACATCAGTATTTCGAAAGGTTGTTTTTTGGCAAAATCCAGCGGCATGTCAACATGTTCATTACATTTGACCAAATGGCCTTCTCGTGCCACATGCCGAAATCATTCAAACGTCCTTGCAGGCGTGCTTGTGGGGCACAACCTTTGTCAAAGAAAATGCGGACCAATCGCGCGCGTCGGCCGCGCGCGCATGTCGAACTCCTTCCAAAACGTTACTCACCGACGCGGGGACACCGTCATCGTCATCGGCGTGATTACATCGACGCCGTCATTGGCCTTGCCGTCATCGTCACCATCGTCGCCATCATCGTTACATCGTGTCTACCGTTTGTCGGCGTCTCTATGAAAGCGCGCCCGCCCAAGTCACCGACTCGCCCAACAATCAGAGCCACCGCAGCCGCGTCGGTCGCGCCGCCGCTGCTCGTGCGAACATGCGCGGGTTAGCGCGGCCGCAGAGATGCACCAGCCAACGCCAAGCACTCATCGCAATCGCCGTCGCATGGGTTTTGGAAACCAAGTTGCGGGTGGGTGGGTGGGAACATTGCGCGAGTAGCGCGGCTGACATTTCAGTGCGAACGTGGGTGGAGTACACCACATCGGTGTGTCGTTGTTTTGCCCCCCCCCCCACACTTAACGATACGTTTTGTTTTTCGTTATTGGCATTGCACTTGGCGTGTAAGATGGTCGCGCGAGCAGTGGGCCTGACAATTCCACGCTTGTCAAACATTAGTTGCACCGCGTGGATTGCACCACGTATGTTGCACATGATCTATTGCACCACGTATACTGTCAACTATCATCGCGCCACGGGTATCGCACAACATATTTTGCACCACGTATATTGCACCAAATAACATGTATCACATATATTGCACTATGTATAGTGCACCACGTATGTTGCAACAGTAACACAACATACATTGCACCACGTAGACTGCCGATCGCACCGTGTACATTGATCCACAGGGAACGCACAGCTTAGACTGTTAGCTACTATTGTTTGGGCCCCCCACTGAGGTTAACATTCGATCTGTTTAGCCGACCCTGTCCCAAATTGGTTCAAGCCTCGAGCCACTCCCTCCGAAGAGGGGCGCGGCGAGAGGTTCATTTCCACTTTTTGACGGCCGAACCCGCCCGCCCGCGTCAGAGTGGAGTGCAGATCGGCACGCGCCCCTTCGGCCGCGCCTTCTCCCCGAAGGGGGCTGGCTCGTCGCCGCGGGTGCCCCGATGTGGGTGTGGCAGGAGCTCGGGTACGACCACATCGCGCAGCTGCCCGGGGGCGCGCTCGGCGCACTCGGCTGCCGGTGCCAAGAGGCGCCCTCCGACGAGTTCCTTTTCGGCCAGGACTGGGCGGAGCTGTCGCGCGACAGCCTGGCGGAGCCGTCGCTGTGGCCTCCTCCTGCCAGTCAGGAGGCCCTGCTGGACGAGCGGGGCGAGCTGTTGCGGCTCCAGGCTCCCGAAACCACGGCGCGCATCACGAAGGCCTGCTCCGCCACCGGCGCATGGAGACTCACCAAGCACAACGACCTGCGCCTGTGCGTGCCGGGCGCGGTCGAGCTGGAGCAGCCCCCCGCGCCAGCGGTAGAGCTCATCTCCGGCGACGCCTCGGGCCCTGGCGGGGCGCTGGCACCGGCGAAGGCGCCGTCGCTGCTCGAGGCGCTCGACAGGCTCTCTCAGCAAGGCGGCGGCGAGTTCTGGTACCGTGCGCCGCAGGTCGTCTGCAACCTCCGCGGCGACATCGCAGACGAGTGCTGCACCAGGCAGGCACCCCCCGAGTGGCCGCTGTGCGTGGTGGGCGCGCGGATTGGGGCGGCTATGAGGCTCGTGGTCACCCCCGCGCCGGAGCAGCCCGACGGCCCGCCCCGGAGCCGCATGAGCCGCTCGGGGACCGTCAAGCTGTCCCGCCAGACGACGGGGAACCTGGCCAGGGACACGAGCGGCAAGCTGTCCCGGGAGACGACGCAGCCGCTGCCGCCACCGGCGGCGGAAAGCTCTCCCCTGCGGCTGCTCCCCACGGCGCCGGGCAGCCCGCCAGCGGGGGCGAAGAGGGCCGTGGAAATCCACTGCAAGGGCTTCAAGCTGTCCCTGCAGCAGCACGGGGGCCCGCCACTGAACGTCTCCAAGCTGCACGAGCGCGACAGGCAGGGCGTGGCGGAGGAGCTCCACCGCTGGGCCGTGAAGTCGGTGGCCTCGCACCCGCAGACGTGGCGGACGCTCAACGTGATCTCGCGGGAGGGCGCCGTCGCCGAGGATCTGCAGGCCTGGCCCGGCCGGGGCTCCGTCACCGTGCGCGACATGACGCCCTCCGGCGGCCCGGCGGGTGCCGGCGGCGCCGGGGCGGCCTTCCGGGGTGGCCGGCAGCTGGGGGACATGGTGCTGGCCGCCTCCTGCGAGATGGAGGCGTCTGGCAGCGGCGAAGCGTCCCGGCTCGCCTCCAGCAGAGGGCCACAGGCGAACCCGACCCCCACCCCCACGATTTCTGAGGGGGGAGGGTGGGGTTCACTTCGCTGGGGAGCTCCCGAACGAAGTGAACCCCACCCTCCCCCTCAGAAATCGTAGGGGCTGGGTTCGCTTGTGGCCCCCTATCTAGGCCCACCCAAGAAGGTTCTGAGAGCTGCTTGTGGTCGGCGCGAAATGTTCTCGGAGCAGTTGTGGCTGAGGCTGTCTTGCTCTGACACGTCGGGCTTTCGTTTCAAGAACATTGCTTCTGTCCTTCGGAGATTGCTGGTTCTAAGAACATGTCGTGGTAGGCCTACAGCAATGCCAGGACGGTCGGTCCCTGCCCAAAGGTGAGCATCGAGCCCTTCGAGCTGAGCTACGGCAACGCCCACGTGAACTCCATGCGCCGCATGCTGGAGGACGAGATCGGCACGGTGCTCGGCGTGCCCAGCCTGATGGTGAAGTGCGGCGAGTTCTCCTCCAGCGGGGCCCGCGGCAGGCCGAAGAAGCGGCACCTGCCCCGGGAGGTCGTGACGCTGGAGGTGGCGCTGCTGTGCTCCGAGCTCGCCGACGTCTCCCGGGGCGGGCCGGCGCTGCCGCCGGTGGTGGCCACGCCGCTGGCGGGGGCGTCGCTGATGCCGAGGTCGCCGAGCGAGGCCGAGCTGAAGAAGACGAAGCCATCGCCGACGAGAGCAGCACGAGGGAGCCGCAAGGCAGAGATGCAGAGCATGGACCATCGTTTGAGGCAGACCATCATGCACACCGAGGCTCCGAGGGCAAAGAGGTGCCGACATCGCTGCCCTTGCCTCGTTGTCGCCTCTCTGCGGACTCCCAGAGGAGGCCCTCGTCGCCACGGCTTGACTCGCCTCGGAATGTTCCGGGTAGACCGTTCTCCAGAAGAGGCCTGGGGAGAAGCGGTGTCGGTATCTCTTGGTCTGCCCGGAGGCAGCGCACGAAGCGCTGATGAGCAGGAGCTTAGGCCTACCAGAAGGGGTCGGAGCAGATGTCGTCGGAGGATTGCACCACATCGCTGATGCATCGCTGATGCGGCCCGAAGCGGAGCTCGATCTGCTTCGCGTCGACGTCGCCGATGCATCGCCGTCGTCGACCATGCATCGCCGGTGCATCGTCGATGCGTCGCCGATGCAACGCCGATGCATCGGCGCTGCGGCGCGATCCTCCGACCCCATCTACTCCGGCCCCATCGAGGAGGCCTCTAAGGAGAAAGGGCAAGGATGCCGACGGCGCCCCGGGCAGGGCGGGCGGCCTGTCCAAGTCGGCCTCGGAGCCGGGCCTGGGGCTGTCGCGCAGCGGGCTGCAGGCGAGCCTGGTCCGGAGCATCGCCACGAAGAACAAGGACATGTCGCCCGACCAGCTGGTGAAGCTCCTCGTCAGCACGCTGCAGGAGATCGGGCGGGTGGCCGTGGGGGGGTGGCCCAAAAAGGGGGGGTGACGAGAAGGGCCCTCTGCATGGGGCCCTGGAGGGCCCCTTTTGGGCCCCTGCTGGCTCCCAAAGGGACCCCAGAGGGCCACTTCAGGACCCTTCTCTTCACCCCCCCACTGGGGCCCACCCCCCCATGACCACCCGCCAGAGGAGAGCCAGCACCCGCTGAGGACTCATCCCGACGTCTTCCCGATGCTCGCGAGGACCCCGTGGCACGGCGTGCACCCCGGCCTGGTCATCGTGGCCAGCTGGGACGTCGTCAGGGATGCCAAGTCCACCAGGTCAAGCAGTGGCGAAGCGTCCTGGCTCGCGTATAGGCCCACCAAAGAATTTTCCGAGAACCTTTCGTGGTCTGCACGAAATGTCCTTCGGACATTTCTGGCTGATATTGTCTTGATTTACCACGTCGAGTCTATGGAATGAGACCCGGTTTTTTTTTGTGATTGGGGCATACGTTGGTTCTAAGAGCATGTCGAGGTAGGACTATAGGAATACCGGGACGGTCGGTCCGTGCTCAACCAGGGCTTCTACTCCTCTGGTGAGCCCGGACCACCTCAGCGACCTGCTGGAGCAGGCAAGAAGAAGCCCGAGCAGCAAGATGAACGACGCGGACGAGGTCGATACCGACGCCATCTCCAAGCTCTCGACTAGGCGGTTGGACATCCTTGACGTGTACGCGGGCAAGGACGGCGACGCGGAGATGAAGAGGCAGCAGCTGATCGGAGCCTCGGAGAAGGAACTCCTGGACCTGATGGAGGCCGCGTACCCCAATCACAAGACCCTGAAGGTGGTCCTGTCGACGATCGGCGAGCGGGCGTCCGCGGACCAGAGCTGCTGCCTCCGGCTGAGGAGCCACCGGGCGATCGAAAGGGTCACCTACACGATGGTGCGGTTCAACTCGGACTACGCGATCGTGAGCCGCTGCTTCGACATCGTCGAGTCGCTCCTGGTGCGAGACCTGGGCAGCGTTGACATCGCCCTCGAGAGGGGCGTGGTCCCCGAGTTCATCACCGCCATAAACACGTTCCGCCGGGACAACTACATGCAGCGCTCGGGGTGCCGCATCCTGCGCAGGCTGTACACGAGGGCACGGGAGACTGCGCTGCACGGGCCGCGCATCGTGCTGCTGGGCAAGAGCCTGCACGAGGGGCACACGTTCCGGGGCCTCGAGAGCGTCTTCACGGCGATGCACACGTTCGAGGACGACGCGGTGATACAGCTGGAGTCCCTGAGTCTGCTCGCGCAGCTCGGGGAGCTCCTGTACAACAACGGCATGGCGGAGAGAACGTTCAAGAGCATCGAGGTGGTCATGCGACGGCACTCCCAGCGCGCCGACATCATGTCGGAGGGAGTGCTGATCATATCGCGCCTCGGGGAGAGCTTCCTCAAGGTCGAGAAGCGCGGGATCCAGACCCTCGCGATGGCCATGGCCCGGCACAGGTCCAACCGCAGGATGCAGCGGGTCGGAACACGGGCGCTCTTCAACCTCTCCAAGAACGAGGACACCCTCGAACTCTGCCGCTCGGGCGGCGCCATCGGCGCGGTGCTGGGGGCCATGTGCGCCCACAGCCGGGACACCCAGACGACGCAGATGGGCACGCGGGTGCTCGAGAAGCTGGCGCCGCGCGCCCTCTCCAGGGTCTTCCGCGCCTGCGGCGACGTGGCGTCCGTGCTGCCGCCCGTCTCGTGGAGCGAGGACCCGCTGGTGGCCAGCGTGCCGGCGAGCTTCGACCTCGGGGCCGCGGACGAGGGCGCCTGGTCCGCGGAGCTGCTCGAGACCTTCCGCTTCGAGGTGGCCGGCACCCGGGGCAAGCGCGAGAGCACGGGCAGCAGCGGCGCCGAGCCGGCGCAGGGCGACGCCTCGCTGCGCCAGGGCCTGGCCTCCGCGGCGGTGTACCACCGCGTGGGCCTGGCGGAGGACTTCGGTGGCAAATCTCGGGGGAACGTAAGACTCGAGTAAGCCGGAACTCGGGTTTGCCAACGTTTTTTGACGAGCGCGTCCTGGATTTTGACGGTCCAGTTTTCGTGGGATGTCTGCAGCGGGAGCCTGCGTCAAATTTCGGATTGGGTCTCGTCATTTTTATGATGGCCCCGTTGGGCCCAACCCGAGTCTTCCGTACCCGAGTCTTACGTCTCCCCGAAAATCATGGGGGCCTGGCGTAGCCTCTCAGTTCCGTGCTTCGCGTCGTCTGGCGTGGAAGAGCGTCTGGAGTCGAGGAGAGGGGACGCCGACTCGGCGCTGGCCAGCGTCGGTTTCGCGCCGATCTGGCGTCGACTTGGCGTCGATCTGGCGTCGACGGGCGTCGGTTCGCAAGAGCCGACGGGGTGCTAATGGAGGATGACGATGAATAAATGACCGGGGGTCGTGTTCACGCGGCGGCGCCCGGGATGACGATGAGAAAAACCGGCCGCGGGCTGGAAAACTATGTTGTTTTCATCGTTCTCCTCCAGTCAGACAATGGTGCAGAAATCGCAGAACACTATGTCTTAAATCGTTCTCTCCCACTTTTTTTCAGAGCCCCGAATCATCAGGGGTAACTCGGGTCAGGGCTAACTCGGGTTCGCTTTTCGGGATTCCGAACCCGAGTTACCCCGGGCCCGAGTTACCCCGGATAACTCGGGCGTCCTGAGCCCCACATCATCAGGGGTAACTCGGGTCAGGGCTAACTCGGGTTCCTTTTTCGGGAATCCAAACCTGAGTTACCCCGGACCCGAGTTACCCTGGATAACTCGGGCGCCCAATTTTTATGAATCGTCATCCCGCATTGCTGGGAGGCTCCCGCGAGGGGCCACCCCCCGCAGAGGACCTGGACTGCACGGACGTGCTCTGGGCCGTGCCCGGGCTGCCGGCGGCCCGCGACGGCGACGGGCCGCCGCGCAAGGACGCGGAGAAGAAGCGCTGCATAAACTCTCGGGCCGGACGAAAGGGGGGGATTGGGAAAGGGGGGGTTACGAAATCTGCTGCATGCAGCTGGTTTCGGCCCCGCCGCCGGGCCCATTCCTCGATACATTGGCGCGTCCTGGCGCCGGGAGGCGCCAGGAAAATCAGCTACGTGAGCTGATTCTCAAACCTCCCCTTTGCTATCCCCCCTTTTCGCCCGACCCGAAACTCGAGTCGGGCCTGTCCCCCTACAGGGGGATTGTCGAGGAAAAATATTAAATACCCCCAAAAATAGTCGAAGCATAATTCAAACATAGTCGGGGGACTTTTTCTTTGGAGTGTTTGTTGACCTTTTTCTGGGTATGGTGAGGGTATTTTTTGTTGTTCGTCGAACCCCCCCCCTCTGTAGGGGGACACGCCCGACATAAGCATAAACATAATCGACTAGACGTCAGAGTGACCCTTCGCCGGAGTGGCCTCTGGTGCGGTCCCCTCGATCGCCGAGCGCGGTGCGAGAGTTGCGTCCTGCACGCTTGTGTGTTGGCTCACCCGCGTCCCCGAAAAAGCCGCGCCCCAAAGGGCACTCTTACCCAGGGTCACTCTTGCGTGTAGCCGACATAAACGTAGACGGAAACTGGAACATATACATTACCAGTGGCGGGCTGTTTTTCCAGTCCCAGGGCCTTTTTTGAGGGTCGGGGGCGACACGTCGGGGTCGTGTGGTGCATACGGGTTTCTGTGTTTTTCATCGGAAACAGCGACAAATGTATACACCAGGATCTCGTATACACCAGGATCCGCCTTCCTGTGCGAGTTTCGGTGCGGAGCCAGAAAAAAAGCGTTGGTGTATAGAGCTCGGTTCCCTACATAGACTTTGGGCATACACATCAACTTCTGGCGTCTGGAGGAGAACAAGTGGCCCAACCATCAAACTCTTGGCGCTCCGCGCGGATTGTGTGGATCTGCGCTGCCCCCCCCCCCCCCCGGCGCCTCCGGCGCCGCCCCTGCCGCGCTCCGCGCGCCAGGGAGGGAGGGTCCAGCGCGGATCCAAGAGAGCCGCGCGGAGCGCCAAAAGTTTATGGTCATGCCTCTTTTTCCGGGGGTGGACAGAGACCCCACCCCGACACGTCGATTGGTGATTTGTCCGTTCTCCGTTCCCGAGGGGGCGCCGCGGCCGTCGTGTTCCAGGCTTGCGCCCGCCAGGTTCGGGCCCGAGGTCGTTTTTTCACGAAACCGGATTTGCTGAAGGGGGTTCTGTCCATCCCCGATTGTTTCCTTTTTTTCCAGAACTCAGATAACCTTCTTGGGGCAATAGCTGTGCAACGGCACAATGAAACTGTCACGGAATACCTCTGAGAGGTGGTGACCATGTCGATAAGTCAGAAGAACGGTTAAATGCCTGAAGTGATCCAGACAGTGCTCGTGTCTCCAGACGAGGAAGGCGGACGGAGGACGGATCCAGACGTGCTCGTGTCTCCCTCCCCGATTGTCCCCTCGTCCACAGGACATCCTCAAGCGGGACATGTCCGCCCTCCGGGCCTCGGGCTGCGACGAGCGCGTGCTGCTCGCGGAGGGCCCCACGGAGGAGCAGCTCCGCGAGCTCTGCGCCGCGCTGCGGGCCGGCCGCGACGACGGCACGCTGGGCCCGCAGGACTCAGGAGGGGAAAAAACACACAGACACAATGAATCCGAAAGGGGTACGGAAAGAATGGGTATTCCAGATTTCGTAATAAAGGGAGGGGGGTCTCATTTCGGGGGGGGTCTCTTCCAGGCTATCTTGGAGGGCCTGAGGGGGTCTGGGGACGATGTTTTGGAGGGTTCTCCCACGGGGGGGGGGGGTCTGAAATGGCCTGTCTTGGAGGGTCCAGACCCCCTCCCTTTTATTACGAGATCTGGAGTACGGAAAGAATGGGTACGATGCCCAACAGCAGTTCCTGTTCATTTTGAACAGGACTCGCTGTCCGCGCCGCCGCGGCCTGTGTTCATTTGAGGCAGAGGGCCGCCCGCCCAACAGCGGCCGTTGTTGGTTTGGGGCAACGTTTGCTGTTGGACATTGTGCCCATTTTTTCGGGACCCATTTCGGGCGTCCAAAAGGACGCCGAGTTCGTCGCGGGCCTGCTGGGCCACTTCGCCTGGCACTCCCCGGAGCTCGCCAAGAAGGTCGTGGAGTTTGGGGGCGCAGCGGCCTTCGCGGCCTGGATCCGCATGCCCGACTACGTCCGGCAGGGCCACAACCCGGAGGACGACCACCTCGTCTTCCCGATGTTCCGCGCGTGCCTGACCGGGCTCTCCTGCGTGTGCCGACAGGGCGCGGCCAACGCCATGGAGGTCCTCAAGCTGGACGGGGTGGTGGACACGGCCCTCGAATTCGCGGACCATCTGGAGAGGTGATGGGCGTGTTTTCCACCACCACAACCATAAGTTGGAGGAGGGTGTCTTCTTCCTCCTCCTCCTCCTCCTCCTCCTCCTCCTCCTCCTCCTCCTCCTCCTCCTCCTCCTCCTTCCCCCCTCCAACTTATGGTGGCGATGGTGGAAAACGAGCTCATCGAGAGGGACGTCCGGCGGTCTGCGCTGCGGGTCCTCGCGCGCCTGCTGCCGTACGGGGCAGTCTCCTTCGACAAGGTCTGGAGGCTCGTCTTCAAGCACATCCGGGGCAAGGACAGCGACGAGTCGGTGCGCGCCGCCGCAGGGGCCTGCGCGCTCCAGGCCGTCACGTACGGCTGGGACAGCGAGGCACCCGATCTGGAGGAGTTCGCGGAGGCCGTGGAGTACGGCCTCGACCAGGCGCTGACGGGGGAGGCCCCTGCGGCACTGCCGCTCCTGCTCACGGTGGAGCACGTCGTGCTGAAGGACAGCGAGGCCTCGGAGCAGCTGATCAGGGACCTGTGGATCCCCGACCAAGAGGGAGGCGCAGGGCTCACGTCGACGCCGCCGCTTCGATCCGATTCGAGTTCGAGGGCTTCCGATTCCGATTCGGTCCGATGTCGCATTCCGATTCGGGATCCGACTTCTCACTGGAGGCCCACTGGCCCACCGATGTCTGCCGATCTTCGACCTCTCCCGGCTCGGCTGCCGACCTCCGCCGATCCGGTCCATGTCGGTCGCCGATCCGATTCGTCGATTCGATGCTGGGCTCCAGCCGGAGGCGGAAGCAGGATCATCGTCCAGCTCGCCGCCTGGCTGTCCCGCGGCTCGGCGCCGCGGGCCTCGCCGGCGGACAAGGCCTGCGGCACCATCGCCGCCGCCGCCATCGAGAAGCTGGCGGGCAAGGGGGCGCTGGTGCGCCGAGAGGACCTCGAGGTGCTGCTGCTTAACGCCTCCGCCAGCGAGGTGCCGCCGCCGCTGCGCACGGCATGCTGCAGCGCCATCACCCAGGCCGGGGCTCGTCTCGATTCCTCCGATTCGATTCATGTTCGAATTCGAGGGCTTCCGGTTCTGATTCGATTCTACTTGGGATTCCGATTTGGGCTCTGATTCCTCAGCTGTGGCCCGCTGCCTGCCGATTGCCGCCGATTCGACTTCTCCCGACTCGGCTGCAGCCTTCCGCCGATTCGACTCGTTTCGATCGCCGATCCGACTTCTCGATTCGAGTCTGGGCTATCAAGCCCAGGCCGTGTCCATGGAGACGGACTCGGAGATGCTGGCGCAGGTGATCGGAGGTTGATAGACCTCCTACCCTGACACGTCGATTCAGGAATTGGCCGTTTCTGGTTCGCGAGAGGGCGTCGCGGCCGTCATTCTTGCGGGTCCAGGTCCGTCGGTTTCGGTCCTGGGCCGTTTTCACTCAAGGGAGGTGTACTAAAGGGAGGTTTGCCCACCGCCGAATCTATTTGGGGAGCCTGTGGACGCCAGCTGGGACCCGTCGGGGGGCCGGAGGCCAGCCAGGACTCCTGCGGCGCGGGTTGCTTGTGCGCACCCCGAAGTCTTACCCAGGTGAAATCCGGTAGAGGGAAACAATTACTGAACACTCCCCCTCCCCCCCAAACTCAATGTTGGCACGCGCGGGGGAGACTGCGGTCGAAGTGCATCTCATCAGACTCACCGCCAACTTCGAACATTGGGGGGAGGGGGAGGCGTGGACCGTTGCATGCGGCATGTGTGCGCTGATTTGTTCCGAGGCCTGTCGGGAAGGAGCAAAACACACACAGACGGAATTCATCGGAGACGTCGCCGCCGAGACAGCTTGTCCTTAGTGGGCCCCGGAAACGGCAGGGCCGTTTTTCCACCGCTTCCCCAAAAAATGTCACTTTAAAATGGAAACGGCACAAAATCGGCGACCGGAAACGGCAAAACAACGGCTCCAGAATTGGAACCGGAGCCGGAACCGGTCAAAAAACGGCGACGGAACCGGTAAAAAAACGGCGTCGGAACCGGCAAACAAATGGCAAAACGGAACCGGTAAAAAAACGGCCCTGTCGTTTCCAGGGCCCACTA